CTCGAGTACTTACCTTGCATACCAATAGCAACATAACGTAGTCATGTTAACAGAATAGCTGTACCATTTCCAGTATCTTTCAATTCCGAGAAGTGAATTACACCACTATAACTTTTATCTCTTCATCTAGTGACTCGAGCTACAAGGGAAGACGACACAAAACCGCGACGGGGGGATGCTAGTCCGACATAAAATCTAAAATCTCGGTCCAATTTCAAACAAGGATAACTATTCGAACGACTCGTTCAGTTAAGGATCTATCAAATTCCCATTCGGCTTTGCAATACGCTGCAGCGTTTGCAAGCTGTTTGAAGATTTATGAACACCCGGGGTATGTAATGCGGCGTCGTTTAAATACGAACCTCTCGACGGTGAAGGCGGTGATGGTGAGCACGGTGGCGTTCGAGGACGTCTCGGCGGCGAAACTCTGAATAATGCAGAATGCCTCGCCGAACACGTACGGGAAATGCGACCAGATGTAGTACATCTCCGGCGGCAGCCCGGATATCAGCAACAGTAAATCAGACACGGCCAGGCTGAACAGATAGTAGTTGGTCGCCGTGTGCATCGACTTGTTACGCGCTATCACCACGCACGTGGACACGTTCCCGACGAGACCGGTGAGGAAGATCACCGCGTAGATCACCGTGATCGGCAACACTATGTAAAGCGGATCCCGTCTCGTCGACAAGTCGTACTGCTGCATAAACTCCGCGACAGGACTCGTATGATTCTCGGCCATGGCGTCGGTCAAGTTGCCACCAACGAGCAGTACCTCCAGATTCACGCTGGCGACGATCGACGGCCGTCTCGGGACCGCTGACTCGTTGAAGGACATCATCCTCGTTCGAGTCGAATTTGACTAGCGGTAAATTAGCATAGCTTCGGGATGAGATTTATGTAGCAAGCCGCGGACGGTGTACGACACATGGGTCAGTGCGATCATTATTCTCAGGTCTCTCTCTCGACGATCTCAGTCAATCCGAAGCGACCGGGTCGATCAGCCGCGTTATTGATCCAGCTGTCGACCGTTCGCCGATGCGCGCTCTCTTTTGTTTGATATCCATTTAGATTTAAGTTCTCGTAGCCGGAAGAGTACAGCTCGCTCGAGTCGTCCCCAGCGGTCCGCTCGGTTCAGATTGATTCGTTGCTTTGAAAATAGAATTGAAAATCCGACGGAGCGTAGATAGTATTGTCAGGGGCGAGGCGACGGGTAGAAAATCTCGTCGGTCCCTGGCGAGACATTATTAATAGAAAATCGCCAAGGCAGGATTATTATGGTTTCCCTCGGGTTCGCACGCTGCTCCCATCCACGTGCCGGACAGTGTAGTCTTCTCGGAATGAGTCAATTACGTTATTTTCCCGTTCGAAATTCAATTCTCAATGTATTAATTCACCGTTCAGTTAATCTTTCAATTGCAGATTCGATCGAGCCTATGTGTTCATCGATCATTTCAAATCGTATCGGTATAATTAAGTTCTAACCAGATCCAGTTGTCCGTGAATCGTCTCGATCTGCGGGTTATTAGCAAACTCAAACTTTCGTTCGCTCATTGAACACAGGCAAAAGTATTTTCATTTGCAAACATTTCGTATTATGTCTACCGTTGTTCAAATATTCTATTTATAACACGAATTAATTATTTCTGTTTAACGTTACGAAATGTTTAAACGGTG